AGAAGGTGTGAGGTGAAGAGATGGGTCCTTATCCTCTTATAAAGGCAGAGAATATCAACCGCCCCCTCATAAGCCTTAAACCTCGCCTATTTCGAAGGGGACATGCGAACGGCAAGGTTGGATTACCCAAACCCATATTGATGAGAATCCCATGATAAGGGGACACGATCTCTGCTTTGACAAGACGTGTCAATGGTCGTGCCTCGATACGCGAAGCGGGGGTTGTAAAACGGTTCAGAATAATAAACAAGGCCAGGACATAATGCCTTGCCGAAAAAGTTGCCAGTGGACGTGACTTACTTCGTGTTAAGTATTTTTGCCCTTACAGCTTAGGGTTGTAATTATTAAACAGAGCCGGATACAGCTCTTATGTGCGGAAGACTACTTTGGAGTATTCAGAGAAGGAACCCGCCTTGCAATGCCGAACACAGTCTGCACGTCGGATACATCGTCATTGAAGCCCGATTTAGGGGCTACTGATGGAGTCTTGGATTATGGGGTCCTCGGGGATCCAGCTTTTTTTACATGGGTCAGACTAATGGTCTACGAAGATACAAGACAGAAGGCCCTCCCTTGTGTCCCGATGGGACTCTCCTTTGCATGGATGACAAACTTGGTGTTAGGATAATATATCTTCCTTTCTCTGTAAACGGACTCTGTACAATCCTAGGCCCCTCCGTTGTCTATATAAACTGGAGGGTTTAGTCCGTAAAGGCAATCTTAATCATACATGCTAGACATCTAGGGTTTAGCCATTACGATCTCGAGGTAGATCAACTCTTGTAACCCCTATACTCATCAAAGTCAACCAAGCAAGAAGTAGGGTATTACCTCCATTAAGAGGGCACGAACCTGGGTAAACATCGTGTCCCCCGCCTCTTGTTACCTTCGATCCTTAGACGCACAGTTTGGGACCCCCTACCCGAGATCTGCTGGTTTTGACACCGACAGTGTCACCAAGTAATATATTTCATGCAACAACGAAGTCTAACTCTCTTCCTACGCATTGGCATGTCATAAAAGAACAATTCACGAACATCAAGTAAATGCCAATACATAGTATAAATAGTTTCTTGCAATTTTATCGTATGGTAAACATAGGGAGGTGGAGATGTAGTTCCTCTCTCATAATAATTTCAAGTAGGAACAGAAAGCACATGAACATTATATCTACAAAAATCATCATGTGCAATAGTAGAACACAACCCATCAATATAATCCTTAATAAGCGCAGGCTTCTCTAATATAGTGTAGTTGGGAGAATTCAAAAAGATAATAGGACTATCATGCATGGGTGCAATAACAACAATTTCATTCTTAACTTAAGGAACTATAGTAAGTTCATCTCCAAAAGCATAATTCATATTGGCATCATGGCCACAAGCATACCAAGCATCAATTTCATCAAAAAGGGATATTTCAAACGAATCCAAGGGATCATAGCAATTATCATAGCATTCATCCTTCGGTAAGCACGAAGGGAAAGAAAAAATGTATGAGTTGAAGATTTACTCTCATTAGAAGGTGGGCATGGGTAGCTAATCCGCTCTTCCTCCTTTTGTTCTTCGCTCACCTCGTCATCTTTTTCATCCAATGAGCTCACAGTTTCAACAATTTCTCCTTCCATAGTTTCCTGCAAAGTATTAGTCTCCTCTTGGACAGCGGAGGAGTCCTTAATATATGGCTTCACATAAGCATTAGAAGCATATTTTTCATAGCAATATTTAAGTATGGCAAAATATTCAGATTTATAAAGAGTAGCATCATACTTTTGAATCAAAGAAGCAATTTTATAGGCACCCTTAAGGAACAAATTCTTCAATTTGCTCAATATCATAGTAATTATAAAAACCCTTGGCATAAGAAGATAATGTTCAGTTATCCTTAAACTCACATTGATAAGGAAGGTATTTTTTAGGGTCTTCGGAACAACAAGTAAAATCATATATTTCGCATAAACTCCAAGCATAAAATTGCAATGTATTAATATGATGCCATAAAAGATTCCATTTTTAAGATAAGCGGTGTCGCACAAAATAAGAATGCTCATTTAATGATTTTCCCTCAACTAAAGTAGTTGGGTTTTTAGCACGAGCACAAAGGGATCAAAGATTATCCAAATAAAAAGCTTCAGGAATATGATAGATTTTGGGTTGTTTGGTTTAGTAGGGACAACTAATTTCTTGGTACGTTTCCTACCCATAACTAAAGATAGAAAATAGGAGCGCAAAATAAAATTTACTTAGTGATAAAGCAAACAAGCACACACGAGAATATCCACCCCACACTATTGCTCCCCGACAACGGCGCCAGAAAAAGGTCTTGATAACCCACAAGTATAGGGGATCAGTTGTAGCCTCTTTCGATAAGTAAGAGTGTCGAACCCAACGAGGAGTAAAGGTAGAACAAATATTCCCTCAAGTTCTATCGACCACCGATACAACTCTACACACGCTTAACGTTCGCTTTACCTAGAACAAGTATGAAACTAGAAGTACTTTGTAGGTGTGATAGGATAGGTTTGCAAGATAATAAAGAACATGTAAATAAAAACTAGGGGTTGTTTAGATAAAGAAACAATTAAGTTAGTTTTAACGAGCATGGAAAAGTGGTGGAAGGATTTGCGAAATTGCCCCTAAGCAATTGACTATGTTACTAGACCGATAGCAAGTTTTATGTGGGAGAGGCCACTGCTAGCATGGCATCCCTTACTTGGAATTTTATGCTCTTATGATTGGAACTATTAGCAAGGATCCGCAACTACTAACGTTCATTAAGGTAAAATCCAACCATAGCATTAAGATATATTGGTCCCCCTTCAATTCTGTATGCATCAATTTCTATGCTAGGCTGAAGCTGATATCATCCTTGCCCTCCAATACATAGTCCTATCAACATACAACTAACCCTACGGTGTGATCCACAAGTGCGCTCATATGATGGGCACCAAAGGACAGCAACATAACCACAAGCAAATTAAACCAATCATAGCAATTCACCAATCATAGATATGACAACAAAAATCTACTCAAACATCATAGGATGGCAACACATCATTGGATAATAATATGAAGCATAAAACACCATGTTCAAGTAGAGGGTACAGCAAGTTGCGCGAGAGTGGACCACTGTAGATAGATGGAGGAAGCTGATGGAGGTGTTGGTGAAGATAAGGGAGTTGTTGGAGTAGATCGCCGTCACACGATGATTGCCCCGACGGTGTTCCAGCGCCACTGGGAGAGAGGGGAGAGAGCCCCCCTTCTTCTTCTTCTTCATTGACCCCCCCCCCTAGATGGGAGAAGGATTTCCCCTCTGGTCCTTGGCCTTCATGGCGACGGAGGGGCGGGAGCCCCTCCGAGATTGGATCCT